AGAGTAAATACCTCAGTGCGACTACAGAGCGCAGATTTATCTGAAGGGATTTTACAGCCAACATGTTTCTAATGATGTGGGAGATCTGCTGGGGTAATGAGGCAGTTTAATGGGCATCAGACAAAATCCACCAGTTATTATCTCATCGCAGATGGAGGCAGAGGCAGTTGGACGACCACGCAGACATATGTCCAAACGTGCACATGAACAGACACACGCACATGCATTAGCAATACTGGCTTTTCTGCTCAAGTTACTGGCGAAACATAGAAGGGTTTTAATCTTACCATGTTGGACCTAGATTTAAGCATTGTGTTTCAGAGACAAAGGCAAATTTGTCACTTTGTTTGGTTGACGATAGCGAAGAGATCGGGAATGTTTGGAGAATTACAATTCATATTTACACTCACTGAATATTAAATGTAAGGAATGAGCCTTTGGTGAAAGACATTTTCTCCCTGTGGACCTGATCCTGTTTTTTTAAATACCCTTGAATTTGCAGTGATAGTGATGGTTCAGCATTTTGGAAATCAAAGAAAAATCTGGTTCTGAGAGCAGCTTCAGAAACATTAAGCACACGTACGTTCTCCTGTGAATGTAAATATAGGAAATGTGTGTATGTGAGAGAGAGAGAGAGAGAGAGATCAGGACTAGATCTCTGTGGTTACCCCTTACGTCAGACATGAGTTCCTGAGATCAGTGGTTCTCAAATGTGACAAACCTTTAAATTCTTGCACAATTTGGAATCTCCAACCCAATCAAAATGAATTCTTCTTTGTACTAAACCAATCCTGCTAACCTTGACTCATTGAACATTTTTTCCCCTTTGGTTTCTACAGCAGCTTTCTGTCCTTGGAGCAGCATTACTGCTACATACTGAGTTTGTGACTTGAATTTTATAGAAATAAGTGAGCAGCAAATCATTCATCAGAGGCTGTGTGTGCAGGAGGCTTATTCAGTACCACATGACCTACAGAAATGAAGCCCCACGGCCTTTTCTTGGGTCACAGGCCACCATTTAGGAAACATAGTTTGAAGAAGAAAGTTTCTACTTTCAGTCAGCCTCCTGGTTTACATTATCTTTTAGCTTCTTTACATAATGGATCATAATTTAAATTCTTCCAGTAAATGAGGTGGAACCAACACGAACGCCACCACCTGTGGTATTAGCAAGCAAATCACTGCAGTAAATAATACACCTATAAAATATGAATATTAAAATAAGTCTGGACGGTTAATGTCAATGTCAAGGTGAAATATTAGGGACATCTGTGTTTTTTTTTGTTCTACACAGGAAGTCCCTGTGTGTTCAGGAGAGATTTAAGGCCCAGGTTATTCAGTGCAGGAGGGCGTGAATGAGTGTGTTTAAATTTGGCCACAAGATGAGTCTGATAACATTGTTCTTTTAGAGCATATCATGTTTTATTTATGGCTTTAATGTGACTGGTGAGTCACTTAAGAGATCAACATTTTGGGCTTTTATCTTTATTGATCCAGAGTTGGTTCAGGTCAAGTAATAGAGCACCGAGAAATGAGGCTCTGGGAATTCCATATATAACAGTGATCCATTGAGATGAATGGCCAACAGACAGCGGCGTCAGAGTTCCTGGTCTGAACATAGGAGCATGTGTTCTATCATAACAGGCCAAAAGGCTGACGTTAGGACCGAGCAGCACCAACAACCAGTGTTTGAAAACTTGAAAGAATTTAAACCTTTTAATCACCTTCACCCTCTGAGTTAATCCATTAAAAAAATAAGAATAGACGACGAAAAACTAAAATAACAGAGAAACGTCAATAAGCTCTGATTATAATGTCAAAAAGAAACGTCAATAAGCTCTGATTATAATTTATGACGGAATCGTACTCCTATCGACCCCAAGACGATTATTAGCTGCACTGCTCCAGTTACCTGCACAACACTGTGCCATGTCGTGGCCTTGTCACAGAAATGTATTGTGTGATATAAAAAGCACAAGGGATTAAAACCTACGGGAAATATTTGATCATTAGACACGTAGTGTCTACTCATCTCGGGAAAATAACACCAGAATATCATCCTTCTTCTCTCTCGTCTGCTGTTGCGTCTTTTTTTTTTTCTTCTTCTTTTGGCTGCTCCTTTCAACCACACTGGATCATCTTCCTCAGACCCGCTCTATTTCTTGCATCCTTGACTGTCACACTATCCTCCATCTCTCCGCAGCACACTTTTCACGCTGACATTTCACTCAAGAGTCCGATTTTGTTCACATTCAGAAGGAGATCGAGTGCGCGTACATTTTGCGAGATTGGCAAACTGACACATACAGGTTGTCATGTGATTAGATTAGATCTGGACTTTATTGCTCTATCACTGAGGACGCTGTTGAAATCAGTAGCGTAGTAGTTTCATGACTTTGCACCAGAATGATTCAGGATTAGTTAATGCACATTAGTTGTGGATGAATTAGCAGTGTGAATGCAAAAGTGGAGTGAAACCAGTTTAGCTAACCCTAACCCAACTTTTTTTCCTCCTATGACACACAAGGCATCGCTGCCATTGCTCTGTCTCTGAATGGTTAGTCCTACTGATTTAATCAGCCAATCAGACGCAGGTGCAATGATGTTCCATCTCATGTTCCCTTTGTTTGACCTCACCGGCGGTCCTGCTGTGGCCGGGGACAGAATGTTTTTGGACATATCAGGTGTTATTACCTTTAAAGGCTTCCTCTCTCTGAGGGAGTGCTGCTATCTCTCTGTGACACATCATTGTGATTCTCTCTCCACTCACTCCACCCTGCCTGCACACTCTTCTTCACCTTTTTTTTGTGCACAATCCATAGCTTTAAGGGTGGATCCCGTTCTCCTCCGCTCACTAATGACACTGCATTTCCACTCTCATTCACGCACATTCTCAGTTTCAACCGACTTTTATTCCTCATTTCTCCGTTGCAGAGCTTCAACTCTTCACTTTAACTGCAATAGTGTTCATGTTGAGACAAACAAATAGACGAAAAAACTGCAAAGTGAAAAAAATTAAAATGCAGTAGATGATGTAGACCATAAGTCTTTTATGGTGCGTGCACGTGACTGCGCTATTCTTCATTACAACGGGTTATTGCTGTTGAGATGAACTGATCCTCTGTGTATATCAAGTCATATAAAAGAGATCCACAGCAAAGGTGATGTCACTGCAAGGAGAGTTGAAAGGGTTGCCATGGTGACAGGCGAAGGGAGTCTTGACTGGGTGGGGTGCAGCTTTAAACATTCAGTACTGGAGAATACGTGTGTGTGTGTGTGTGTGTGTGTGTGTGTGTGTCAGAACATCATTACCATGTTTGATTCCCCTCCTTGTTCACAGAGTCTAATGCAGTGTAACTGTGTTTCCTCTCCTCTGCACTTGTCATCTACATTTGTAGAGTGTTTATCTGTTTGTGTCCAATTACCTCCACACACTGCTCTGAGTCCACGCACTGTGGGCTTTTAGACTGTATGTCAGACGTGTGCATGACCAGGATGTGGTGACAGTATTGTCCTCAGTAAGGAAATTCCACACTGACATTTTGGTGCATATTATTTTGCAAATGATTACAGTCTCAGGGTCTAGTTTGAGGTGAGGTGTAGTTAAAGGAGAGAGAAAGAAGCAAAGGATGGCATTTTCAAGAAATGTGTTTCTCTCTGTGTGTGTCTCCTGCGTGTGGTGAGACATGCACTATTGTAGTCTCAGATCATGAACTTAGTGAATTTCCCAAAATCATTGACTTCACGAGCCAAAGGTTAAAACTGCTGCTGAATGTGAATGAGATACAGTGATATATATATATATATATATATATATATATATATAGTAATTCCCGGCTAGACTGCAGTTGTTTTCTGTGACTGTTTAAAAGGCACAGTCACCTGATAACAAAGACAAAAAGGGGGAGTTGTGTATTTTGTTCAGACTCGTCTCAGTTACGCTGTGTAAACGCCCTGTGGAGGAGAGTGACAGACAAGTTGGATGACATTACAGCCAAGGCAGCAGAAAGAGGGGAATGTAAGTTACTTTATGATTATAATGTTTAAAGTAAGTTAGTCACGAGTGGTGGATTGGGTTAAGATGATATCATGACATTCATTTAGTTGATTTGTTTTGAGAGAGAACGGTCCAGTTGTAGTTGTTTGTTTTGGACAGGTTTCAGTGTGTACTTTCACTTAAATGTGTTCAATCAGTGACAATACTGTGCAGTAATGAATGACACACTGACTCAGGATATTTACTTGTTCAAATAAAATGTGCTTTCAGTGATGGATGTTGCTCCTGTGCAGTAAAATACAGATGAAAATGTGTCCAACGGCTTTGAGGACAGACTGTCCTCAGTGTCCTCCAACCTCCCTTAGTTAATGGAGTGAACGCTAAAAATTATGGCAGTGTTGTCTTTGGTTGTTTGTGCGAGTTAATGGAGTCGTGTGTGTTTTTGTGTCGGTCTGATTTATAAACAAAAATCACAGTGTATTTTTTATTTTTTGGTTGTGAGACTCGTGACTTGTTTGTGAGCCTCGTGACTTGTTTTTGACATTACCTGTTTCCAAACCTGTCTGTCTGCAGGGGTGTATGAGCTACGGATCTGAAACCTCAGTTCACCCTGCAGTGTACATGATAGAATGTTTGAAAAAACATGCAAAAAACAGGCACAAGGACTAAACGAAAGTATTTTTAAACCTTGTAATGTGAAGCCTGAACATGTGTCCATATCCCCTGCAATGACCTCATGCACCATCAGAGGTCCGTGCACCCCTGGTTGGGAAAAACAGGTTTAAAAGGGTTTTTTAATTCATTAAAAACTGCCTGAATACACTGCTATAATATGTCATTACTTTTGAGTAAAAGTCTGTCTCTGCAGGATGATAAGTTCAGTGTCAGTGTCCAAACTAAAGTTTTCCTCTCCTTCCTAAAGGACTGTTGACTGGGAAGGAGGACCTGGGCAACAGTGAGGAGGAGGAGGACGAGAGGCATCTCAATTACAATCACCCGCCTCTTAAGACTTTGCAGGAGATTAGGGAGATGGATAAGGAGGACAAAAGTCTGACCAAGTACAAGCAGACGCTGCTGGGGACGGGTCCGGTGACAGAAGGTGGGTGTGGTATTGATGTTTCTCTGTGTGTGTGTCGAGTACAGCAGCAGCAGCATCCTCTCACACACATGCAGACACCACGCTGATTTCAGCATCTCTGCTCCTGCATGTCATGACAGCTGTTATCAATATAACAGCTCTGACTCTGGCTGCTGTACCTCAGCATCGCCTCATTTACAGCCCATTACAGCAGACGCAGGGGCGGAAAAAAAGCTGCGAAGGAAACGGTTCCAGTGTGTGAAACAGGCACTTTTCAACTTTTATGTGCTACATTTTTAACTCTGACACCTGACACCTGAGGGATTTCTCCATTATTCTAACACCAGGAACTGATAACCTTTTTAGATAGATAGATAGATAGATAGATAGTACTGCCTATTACAGAGCAGCAGCAACTTATGATGAATGAATGGATTTTTAATTTAATAAAATATTTTTTTAATTGGATCCATTTAACCTAGATACATAAAAAAACTCCCAAACTAACTTTTAGTTAGTGACATGGCTGTGAATGAAACTCTCTAAAACACGACATAACAATGTACTTTAGAAGAGAAGAGTTTATAATATATGATTAAAAAAAATTTAAACCAGTTTTTTTATCTGCAGATCCGTCTCAGCCCAATGTCTGTGTGACCAGAATGACTTTATTATGTGACCAGGCTCCTGGAAACCTCAGCATGGACCTGACAGGTGCGTGAACACTTCAATATAGTGTTACATTTCATTACTATTTATATAAACAATATTATGAAGGTCATTTGTATGTATTTACAGTATGTATATGTATATAAATATATATAAAGTACTTTGTTGGCCTATCACCCTGTGATAGGTGTTGTAGTTACATATTATTTTGAGTTTCCTGTCATGGGGGAACACTAAAAACATTCTTCCCATATTCTAAAAACAAAAGCAGGTTTTGGACTCGTGTTAATTGGTCAGTGTGAATCAACCATGGCAGTGAACTGTGAGTGTAAATGTTGTCTCCGAACGTCGCCCTCTGTGGACCAGTGTCCTCTCTGGTCCAGGGCTGACCTCACCCTGTGCGGTTACTCCTCCAAATCCTGAGTCGATGTGTCTCTGTTACACTGATATGCTCTGGAGCAAGGCATCCATCCCTCCACCACGCTGCAGCTGGAGAGCAGAAAGACTGCAGTGGGTGTGTCCGTGCATGAGAGTGGAGAGACAGCGAAATGTTTGCTTAGTGGGCAGTATTGACATTTTCCCCTGGGCACAGGAAAAAGCGACAGGCAATAAAGGAAAGCAAGGTTTCTGTAGGTTTATGTGTTTGCATGTGTGTGTGTGTTTGCGTGTGTGTGAGTATGTGTGTGAGCTGCAGTACTTGGTAATCAGGTAGCAGGAATCTGAAACCTTAACTTACAGACAAAGACTAAGTTATGAAGAAGATCAAACTGTTATTTGGGGTTTGGTTTTCGTCCCTTCTTGACTTGAGCTCCTGCTGGTTTTATTTTCTTATCTGAGGATTTTCTTATTAAATTCTAACTCTAACGTACACTGATATGAGCTCACCCTCAGTGCAGATCGTGAAGATGTGGAACTCCCGTTTCCTCCCACTGTCAACAGACAGGGACTGTCAGATTAATCAAATTAGATTGATAGCAAATCCAAACTGATAACAGGTGTGAGTGTGGGCGGTGGTCACCTCCAGCCCCCCGTGACAGGATGGAAGTGGGTGAAGATGGAAGGATGGTTAGAGCCTGAAGTACAAGCTCAAAAAATGTCTTTCATTCGTCAGATAGTCAGTGTAAAAGAAAAATGGATGCATCAGTTGTGAGAGTACCGGTGCTGGTCAGGAGGTCAGGTGTTGACCTCTCAGCCAGATCACAAACATACACCTGCGTTGTCTTTCATCTGACCCGTCCAACCTTCTGTGTTTACGACTACAACCTCGCAAATGTTTGTTTACACCCAATCACAGAACGACACTTGCCGTTGTGCGTCACCGTGTTACTTTGTGCTCAAATGCTATAAACACTTTATTTACTTCACCCTGTAACACTGTGACCTGATTTCACTTCTACCACAGCCTCCTGAGAAGCAGCGGTTTTATTTCCCTTAAAATGCAGAGAATCACAAGTGAAACATTAAAAACTGAACTCATGCTGCGAGAAGAAAACTGGTTGAAGCCGTGAGGAAAATAAAATCTATACAGTAGTCCGCGCTGGAATGACTGGTCTCGCTGCTGGATCGTGTTACACTCAGGCAGACGGGTCGGCACCACACTGGACTTGAAATGGACTTTCCGTTGGTAGCTGAAAACATTAGAGAGCTCATTATACTGGACAATGTAAGCTGTTACCAGTGCAGCACAGGGTCCTAACTGATGACGGGCATTTGTTCTTCTGCATGTGAGTGTGTGTTGGAGGTACTTATGTAGTTAAGTCAATTGTTCCGCTTGTACTGCTTGTAAGTGTAACGAACACTACTGAACATTTAGACCTGCAGTGGCTGCTTCAATAAGTTTAGACATTTGATCTAAAATAACAACATATTCATGTAGTTTTAAAATATGGAAGTTTGTCCTGCACAAGTGCCAGTTGCAGTACCGGTATCGAAAAAGTTGCATTGAGAAACTAGTCATTTTCCCCTGAGTTTAAGAATTGCACATCTGTGCAGAGACGCCTGAGAGACTCAAGTTTATTATTATGGGCCACCTGCTGTGATGCTAAGCACAGAGCTCCACTGTTCTGTAGAGCTGTGTACTTTCAGCAACTGTGTCAACACGGAACGTTAAGCCCAATTTTTAAACCCAAACCAACAGTTTAACAACGTTACAACTACATTTGTGCCTCAGAAGTATCTCGCTAAAAAGTTGTGAGCCTCTATTGTGGTTTGACTAAGCTGTCTTGACTTCTGTATGTTGTCTTTGAGCTAAGCTAATCTTGCTGATCTTCTTTCTATGTCTTGACTTCTGTATGTTGTCTTTGAACATTATCTTTAAGTTTCCAGGCAGAGGGCAGTGAATCTGAAGCCTTTTAACTGTGTGCGTTTAAAGACAGGTGGCCGGTAGATAATGATACATTTGTTTTATAATAATAATACAAGAATTTAGTACAGTCGTTTCTGCTCCCTCTGTTGCTGGAGTCGAGATCAATAACCTGAGTGTTTATGCACTGAAACATGAAAAGCGATTTCCATCAGTCTGAGCCCGCAGTGGAAAAATAAATTGCAATGGATTTGTGTCCCCCGGTTGATACGGCAATGAGACCACTGCACAGATAGACATTCATTGGTCAGAGTGCAGGGATTGTGACCTAGTTTGGGTGAGAAGGTTCATTACACACCACATTTCAAGAGGATTGTGGGATTTTTATTAGGAAACGTGCTGCGAAGACAATCCCCCCACAATCGGACTTTTACAACAGGTGTCCGGCAGTGATGTGCTTTCAAGTGTCTGCTGGGTTTCATTTCAGTTTTCATCCCGGCTGGATCTGGTTTCCTGGATTTGATTCTCACTCATGGCCTCAGTGACTTCAGCACAAAACCAAACATTTCATGTTCTATATGTCACTGCTGCTTGGTCCTGACACAGTAGCCTGCTTAGGTTATCATTTCATGTTCTATATGTCACTGCTGCCTGGTCCTACAACACCTGACACAGTAGCCTGCTTAGGTTATCATTCTGTGTATACATGTAAGGTTAGTAGTACCTCTAGGTTAAGGTTGGGATTAGACCTAAACTAGTAGTGCTAAGTTCTGGTTCTACAGGGTTTAGGTGTCTAGATGTATCTTATACCTGTGTTCCCCATTTACAGGGAGGTTCAAGGTTTATTTTGGAGATTTTGGAGGATTTGAAAAAAACTCAGATTAGAGTTATATTAAGGATTAAGATTAGACTTGAGGATTGCATATATATATGTAAAGATGTGTGTGTGTGTGTGTGTATTTGTGCGAGTTTGCTTCCTGCCTGTTTTGTTTCCTCCCTGTGAAGAATTCTTCCATTATTGTTGGTTTTTCTGGAGACCCATAATCCTCATCCTCTGGTTAAACTAGGGTTGAAGATGTGAATTGCATTTACAGCTGCATTTATGAGTTGAGGAGTTTGCTTCATCTCGTAATGATTTAAGTTAGCAATAAAGTTCTGTGAGTGTGTGTGTGTGTGTGTGTGTGTGTGCAGTATTACTGACCCATTTTTGAGGACGTTTATTTAAGTTTGCTCCAGAGACTGATCCTTAACGGCCCGTTCACGTACATTCATATCCACCACAGCAGTTAATGGACGACTTTAATCAACAGGAAATATATAAAGATAAACCCATTTTACACAGTGTTTTTAAACAGCTCTGTACCTGCACATATACAGTGACAACACATACAAACCACAGTACGCAGTATTTAACGTAGATAACGACGATGTTGTGTGTCTCCTTCTCTCTTTTCCGTCTTCCTCCTCGCATCACTTCTGTCTCTCCTTCCTCCCTTCCGTCCTCCCTCCCTCCCTCTATCTCCCCTTCATCTCCTCACTGTTGTGTTTCTCTGTCCATTAGGAGGCACTCAGGACTGATGGCCAGGTTTAAAGTGAAATATAAAGCGATTAGGTGGTGAATGAATGTCTGATGCCATCTGCTTTACTTCCTCGTAATGAACCCGTGCAACCTCGCAGGACGACAGCAACACTTTTATAGAGCAAAGAAGCCATTTTGGTTTGACCACTGACACTAAATCCCTGCTACAGTATGTACTTATAGAGTTGTACTGAAAGGAGCAGACCTTCATGTGATGGAGCAAAGGACCATGGGAAATGAGGATGTCGTTTTTCTGCTTCGGTGTTTTACTGCATTAGAAATACAATAGGAACTTCTTCATTAAATGCCGGTGTTTCCAAAACATTTCTCCCCGGAGCCCGTCGTGGACCTCGACTGTGTTTTATGTGGCCCACAGCTTTTATGTGGATTACTTTTGCTCCAACAAAACAATCGAAAAACACCACCTAGTGTACAGTAGTGAATCACACAGACGGAGGTTTAATTAATGTCTTTAGGTGTGTAGCAGCCGTTAAACTGCTCTTTTACTAGTGATATTTTTGAGAGATTCTCGTGAGAAACTAGAGCTGTTGTTTTTAGACATCAAAACTGGCAGCTCTGCCAAAACATCTGTTAAATACGGTACTGTAAATGTTGATATCATGGCCCCCAAAACTAAAGAGGCAGCAACTCACTTTTGACTTTTTAAATGGTGGGATATAAAAATGCCTAGACTGCTATCAACATCTGTCAGTGACGGTAATGATTTGCATCATGGAGACTCTGCATGTATACAGTATATACTATATATATATATGTAAAAGTATATGTGATTCAGCAATTAATATAGAAATTTAAGACAGACGTACTGTACGTTCCTGTCAGGACGGTGTTTGTTCCCAGGAGCTGTTGAATTATTATAATATTTAAGAAATTCATTTATTTTGTTTTCTGTAACTTTAATAAGGTTGATCCTAATTTTTTGTTTGTATTTTTTACAGTATTTTGTGCTAACAAGGTAGGAAGTATCTGATAAATATTAATGTTATATTTAAAGCAGGATATGTGTACAGTCAAATTCTACTTTCACTGCTGTGTAAATGGTACCATAAACTAAAATACAATTTTTTTTATTTTATTTTTTTTTCCCCTCATAGTGTGTCTGCTTTCTGTCAATTACACATTATTTTGTTTGCGTTTTTCTTTCATAATTACATTTCCTCCCACCTGCAATTGAGTCTGAGAGGCGGGAAGTAAACTGTCGAGCGAAAGTTCCTGAGTTTTACTGCCTTAAATGTCAGGTTAAAAATGAAGGAGCGCGGTGTCTGAAGATGAATGGGAGCAATTTCTGCGCGAGCACTTTGTTTTTGATTGGTACTTGTATAGCAATCTGCTCCATATAAACATCTAATTGAAGGATGACACCAGCTGCTGAAGGCGACGTTCCTCCGTGTAACTCAGTCAGCAGCGGTGTGATTCCATAATGACTCATTTTCACTGACATCATCATCACCTACAAAGGCCCTGGCCTGCTGACTAAACCATGAACGCTGATGTCGTGTGTGTGTGTGTGTCATGTTGACCGTGAGTGATGTCCTGACGTTGTCTTCTTTTCCTCTGTGTGTGTGTGTGTGTGTGTCTGCAGGAGACCTGAGCACTCTGAAGTCGAAGAGCTTCACCCTGCAGGAGGGAGCGGAGTACAGACTAAAGATCCACTTCAAGGTAGGTCAGCCTGGTGGACAGACGGACGGAGTCAACGACTTATATTCAGGACGTATAGAAACATCACCGGACGATTACTGCGACCATTGGGTTTTATTGTACGTTAAGAGGCAGGACATGCTGAGTCAGCCGACTTTAAAGTCACATCACAACATCCAACAAAGACCATCATCGTGGTTAATGAGCCTTTTGCGGCGCTGTTGCTTTTTTAGAGCTCCACTAAGAATCAATGCAGTAGTGGTTTGAGTTTCTTTTTTGATAGCAGGAAGTTACTTTGACAGGATGAACTAACGGGACTGTTGTTAGAAATCCATCGCCTTCGTTTGGCTTTCATGTCTAGCAGTAATTGGTGTTAACAGATGACAGCACGGAGAGGAATATATAAATAAGAATAAAAAAAATCACAATATTTATTTCACTTCATTACTTTGTAGCCATTCTGTGGTGCATATGAAAACTTCTGTCCCTCTGTAAGGGTCCTGTGATTATTTTTCAAATCACATTAACATATTTAAAATGCAATAACATCAAAATTAAAGTAACCTGTCATATAAGTCATATCAACATATTTAATCTGCAATAACATCAAAATTAAAGTAACCTGGACTGGAGCCGGTGTTAGGGTTGTGTTTGAATATTAGTAGTGCTGAAATGAATTTTTAAAAATATTAATAAATGTCGCTGACATTTCTGGGAAGTTACCTAAAAATAACGAGGTGAAACATGTCGGCTTGACAAGGGTTGTTTTTTTTCCTGGGATGACCTCATGTAACGACTGCCCTCCACCTCTGAGGACCCCTGCTGGACAAGCAGCCTCACTGCCTTCCCAGTAATCGCTTCCTCATACCTTTAAATGTAAAAGGAAATATAAAAAGAACATAAATTCGTTTTTTGAATATTTTTAAAAATATTTTATTAAAATAATATTATTGTGTCTGCAGGTGAACAGAGAAATAGTTGCTGGGCTGAAGTATCATCACGTGGTCCACAGGAAAGGATTACGACGTGAGTTCAATTACTGTGATCAAATTTGGACTCCTCAGTCAAAGAGACTTAAAGCAAAGAACTTCTGAACTCTCTTTAATGATTATCTTTGAGGTTTTTTTCTGTTTGATCAAACTATGAGATATAATGTTGATCCACATCAACTGTTGAATGTCATATTTATATCTTCCTGCAGTGGATAAGGTGTCTCACATGGTGGGAAGTTACGGCCCGAGAGCAGAAGAGCACGAGTTTGTGAGCCCAAGTGATGAGGCGCCTAAAGGCATGATGTCACGTGGTCTGTATGAGATCAAGTCCTGCTTGGTCGATGACGACAAGAACGTCTACTTGTCCTGGGATTGGAACCTGAAAGTCCAAAAGGATTGGGATGACTAAGGAGGTAAAGAAGAGAAATGGGTGATGCCTCCTCTCCTCTCTCCCGTGTTCTCACCTCCCTGTCTTCCCTCCCCTCGTTTGCCCTCTCGTATCCTGTAAGAGTAGCCATCACATAGACCGGCGGTCCTGTTTTCCTCCTTGTTCATCCTCCTGTTCCTTCTTCCTCTCCTCTGTGTCTCCTAAAAATCTGTGCCATCCTGAGACTTTTAAAGAAGAGAATCCTTCCCTGCTTCATGTCCTCTATAATCCATTTACTGACTCTTTTTTTTTTTAATGCATTTATTTCATACAATAGCAGTGGATTAAAGGGAGGTGGTTAAATAGTCAGCTGAGAAGGGGAGTGGGCTACAGACACTTAACGACATCCTTGGAAGACTCCTTTACCCCCACGGTCAGTTGTTGTGTTTGTGTAATTGTTGGTATAAGGGAGTTGTTAATTTCTATTCAGCCATTGACTTTATATGGAAATAAGTACAGGCCTTTTGTATGTAATTTAAAAGTAAGCAATCTGAAGTTGTTCATTTAAGGGGCTTCTCTGGTCGGAAACCCCTTTAAATGAGAGGTGAAACTCAAGGTCGGGCAGGTCAAGTCGCAAACTTTGACGCATCCAGGGATTGGAACAACCTGGATGACCTAGACCCTCCACACACCTGGTTACAAATGTCTTAGACAGGAAGTAGCTGACCTGGTTTTCAGAATAAAAGTGTTCTCTGTGAGGTTCAATCCTTGGCCCCCAGTTCTGGTCTGACTTTCCTGCTTTTGTTCTTTTTTTGACTGTTCAGGCTCCATGAATTCCTTGTGAAAAAAAAAACCTAAATAATCTGTTCTAAAGAAAGCTACATCCATTTTTAAAAAATGTTTATGCACATATTGTTTGAATGAACAGCAATGAAAGTATAGGGGAAAAAAACAGGAGATTAAAAAAGAAAAACCTCCAAAAAGGTCTTAACAAGACACATGAAAATAAAGAGAAGTTAAAATTTTCATAATTCACATTTTCTATATTTAATTCCATGGTGTGGTGTATAAAACAGAATGATCTCCTGATTAGTGAAGAGATGAAGATATTATTTCTTAAAAATATTTTTTTGTAGTATAAACAAATCACACTCATATTTTCCATCCAAATACATGAACTGCCGTTTTTTTTTCTCCTTTCTGAAGAATGAAATCCTACCATTCATATGAGCTCGTACTGCAGACTGACATGAGAAGAGTGAAATAATCCAGGTTCACCTTTTTGTCCACATTGAGCGTCATTGTGTTTTCACGGCTCTCTGTTCCCAAGTCTTTGAGGAGCTTTTCTACAGAGCAGACAAAGAACACACTGTAACTGAACTGTGTATATTGTAGAAAGAGACGCATGTACTGTATGTCCTTTAGGGTTTGATACTGTGCACATAGTGAAAAGAAACCAAACGACCCCTCCCGCACACAAGGACATGACTGTGAATAGAACTAATGCTTTGAACATTTAGACGAAACATTTACGATAGCTGCCCAAGACTGACAGACCGTGAAGCAAGTCCGTCGGGGGATACAAAGAATTCCCTCGGAAAGGATTCAAAAAACAAACAAACAGTACAGTGTATCGTTGTGTTAAGTCTTTGAATATTGTTACCAATGGAAATTGTTGTGATCTCAATCTAACTGTAAATGTCGGCTTGTTGGGTGTTGCATGGTTTAAAAAGACTCTCTTTCTCTCTCTCTCTCTTTCTCTCTTGCTTTCAGCAGTAACAACTTTATTGTAAAATTTAATGTGGTTTTAAAAAGAGAAGATAAGATAGTGATGCAAATTAAAGACCTCAGTTGTGGTGAGATCCTGCAGATACAGTATTTACAGGGATGGCTTTAACGACACAGGCAGCAGCAGCAGCAGTAATCAGCTGTGTTTCACGTCCCCCAGTCTGTACCAATCACGTGCCACATCTTCAAAGATTGGTGTCTAATTTAGCATCCTGTATCTTTAATAAAGGCAGTGCAAACCACCATTAATGTGTCTCCCGCTCTTGAATTTATTTATTTTTTTAATACAATGAATTTGCAAAATTTCCCAAATATACTTTACTGT